TATATATATATATATATAGTATATAGTATATATATATATATATATATATATATATATATATATATATATATATATATATATATATATATATATATATATATATATATATATATATGTGTGTGTGTGTGTGTGTGTGTGTGTGTTTCCATGGACGTATGTGTCCATATATAGAGTTGTGTAACTTCGCAAGTATGCATGTAAGACCCCTGTAATTGGAATTATACCAAAAAGGACGAAATAACATCAAAAATTACAAACCCACATGTTGAACACTCTTTTTGACACTATTGTAGTCGGGTGATACCCGAAAAACGCTTTTTCACAAAATATGCCAATTCGATATTTTGTCTCCTGAGCGCATCTTGGTTACAGAAGACGTAATCCACACTTGTCACAAATCCTGTCAGAAGGGACATTGTGAACTTTATAATTCACAGGCATACAAATAATTGTTAACACTCAATAGTATTGTCCTTGAGCTCTGTTACCAATTTCAGAGCTATCGTACCAGTGGTATAGCGTCAGTTGCAATTTAACCTGTTTCCGCTCGATGCATGTTGACCACCCTTTTCAAATAAGGTGGCAAATTGTTTCCAATTTGAAAATTCATTGATTTTTCGAACAAAAAAAAGTTGGCAAAAAATAAATAAATACGGTTTTATACTTATGGGGTTGGAATAATGACAAGCAATCACATACATATTATATACACAAGTCAACTCATAGATCGTTAGTATATTTGACTTATATTAAGTGACAATATAAGCGCACATACCCAAATATCCACCCCAGTGCACAGTATTCAAGTGCAGCTTAATCTGTACATATTCCTGCTTCACTGCTAAATGATCTCTGTCGAGTTCTATGACTCAGAATAATGACATTACAAAAATGCGCGTTTAGATGTCAAATAACTCATGATTTATTTATTATATAGATCTTTTATCTTTTTAGTGTACATAAACCAAGTGTAAGATCTTTATATGTTCATACTTAGTATATTACTATGCTACGTTGTGCATATGTGTTGTGCATATACAAGGACTATTCATCAATGTATTTTTAACTTTTAGTATCAACTATCGTCACACATACTAAATAGCAAGCTATGTCAAAACATAATAATTTGAAGTATTTATGTGGAAATATAGGCGAAATAATAAATATAAGGAAATTATATAAGAGAATTAATAAATATGTAACATATATATTTTTGGAAAAAAATAATATATGAAACATGCACGAATTATTTTTTTAGGAAAATAATATAAATATGGCATATTTTATAATAATAATAAATATTCCTAATTTTAAATATGTATATATATTTGTATTTCCTAAAATAATCATTAAAACGTTGAAAATAATAATATGCACTTTTACGTTTATTTGTACGTGTTCCTCGGTGAGCTCATGACTCATGGGGACTATAATGTACTGAGTACTCAATCTGTGATGAATCCGCTTCAAATTCTTTCCTGGCTCAATTCGTGATAGGTCATCCAATAGGCTTTGCCAAACCAGCTTATGGTCTTTTGAGGAATTGACTAAATTACTAGAATTCTGAACTATTCAATAGAATGGGCCTCGGACCTTCGGCAAAGTCGGCATTCGTACTTTACTACTTCCTCTGTGTAAAAAACACCATGTAAAATTGGCTATAAAATATACATAGCTCAAATGCAAAACAAACGAAATGTAAAGTTTTACAACCCACACTCTTGCTCGACCTTGTTTGAAACCGGAATGGACGCGCTCATGCTCACAGGAGTATATTCGGTGCAGGTTCAGATGTCCACATCAGCATGGCGGGATATGTGTCAATGTGCATTAATGCAAAGCAGAAATCTAAGGTATACAACTGTGACAAGGATATTGACGAGTGGGCTGCTTCCCCAATTCCGAGTCTGAACGGGAGCACAGGTAAACACACAGGTTTTATTAACTCTTGTGGTAAGGGAATGGTACCTGATTTCTCTTTATCAACGCAACTACTGATAGCTATCAGCAGTAGTTAGAACTATAAAGCATGCAATGTTATTTCAAGTACATACGATTGTAAATGTGGTCACTGAAAAGAAATTACGATGTAAGTTCGTCCAATCTCTGTCAGCATGGAGGTGCAAGTGCGGGCCAGACGAATGGGTGCACTTGTAGTTGTACTACGGGGTATATAAGGCTCAACTACTCTATCCATCAATAACATTACAACAACACCCACAAAAAATACACATACCACAGTTATGTCGCCAGCCAATCCTTATTTAACGGCGTATTGCACTTTAGTTTGTTACGTTGATGATGGAATTGAATGCAGTTTGTACGTGCAAGTATTTCGCTTGCGTCCTCAATTGCGGCTTAGAATGGGTATACGTAGACGGATATAGTTGCGTGGCATGCGAATGTGATATTTCATGTCAAAGAGTCGAAGTAAAATTCAGGCCTCTATCAATTCCAGCAATTCCAGACTGGTATCTCAAAACTTGCAGGTATATGACCAATGCCCATATAGACCCATACAAGTTCTTAACTCTGATGACATATTGACTTTGCACAGTTTTAACTGATTTTTGGTCCCAGTTTTTACTTTCTTTTGCTACATACGGAACTACCATCTCATCGCCCATAACCTCATATCCAATCATAATGCACTATCCTGATCGGGCTTCACAATCGTCTCCGTCAAGGCGAGATCAAATAAATTAGCCATGCTATGTTCCTCTAAGTACTCTCTCGCCGCAGGCGTCGATGTGACCCTCTTGAAGAGCCATTCGGTGAATGCGGGTTGTTGCTGGATTCCCTCCCACACGAGCGTGCAGCTGTATGTACATACATATACAGATAATATTTGACATCGCTTTTTTCTCTTAACAAACAGTCAATCATAGTCAATATACGTCATCTGTCAATTTAGGTGCCACAAACATATTGACGATTCGAAGCTTAAGTCAGAAGGAAGGTTACACCCAGGAGTAAAACACAAACTATATATATATATATATAAATAGAAACTATAAATAGAAATAGAATCTACGAATGGAAATAGAATCTATGAATGGAAATAGAATCTATGAATAGAAATAAAATCCATAAATAGAAATATAATCAATAAGTAGACCACCTTGTGTACCTGTTGGGTTCATCCACGTCGTCATCGTCGCTTTCGCTCAGCATGTCATCTTCGCCAAACGGTCGCTTCTTCTGCCCCGCTGTGATGTGTATACAGGCAGTTTGGTCAGTGCGGGGGTGATAAGTGCGCGTCACGCGAGAAGTTGTGTATATGTATGTGCCTATGTATATACAGCTTGGGTTAGGTTACAACCAACACATACATCAACCACCCTCAGACCAGCCATGTAATACATAACAGTCACAGGTGTATCAGCCCCAGGAGCGTGTACGAACTCAGTATTAGTAGTAAGATTCCTGATCCATGGAACACCGTATGAAAAATAGGTTAGCTTCCTGATCTATCTATCTCTCTATTTATCTATCTATATATATCTACATACATATACATACATATATATATATATATATATATATACATAGATATACATAGATATACATAGATATACATAGATATATATATAGATGTATATATATATATATATATAGAGTTGTTACGAAACACATTATCATCATATCGAGATACGGAAGCACTTCGACGCCCTGTGTACACTGACAAAAGTTTGGATTAGGTCTCTTATTCCGAGATCACTAAACCATCCACACCCCTTAGGGTTTAGGGTTTTGCATCAACAGCTGTCTATTAGTCGCAATTTGAATCTACACCACTTACTGGTAAGCGAGAACTCGTCTGGATTGCTGAGGTTGATGCGTGAGCAGATGACTTTGATAATCTGCCCCACATTCTGACTGTCGTCAATTAGCACGGTACGCTGGGAACCATCCATGAGAATTACCTTAAATGGTATATGGGGAAGTGAGTATTAAAGGGAATCTTCCATGGGAATTACCTTAAATGGTATATGAGGAAGGGAGTATTAAAGGGAATAAATTACCTTAAGTGGTATATGTGGAAGTGAGTACTAAAGGGAATCTTCCATGAGAATTACCTTAAATGGTATATAAGGAAGTGAGTATTAAAGGGAATAAATTACCTTAAATGGTATATGAGGAAGCGAGTATTAAAGGGGACCATCCATGAGAATTACCATATAAAGGAGTGAGTGTTAAAAGGAAGTATCCATGAGAATTGCCTTAAATGGTATATAATACCTTAAACGGTATATAAGGAAGTGAGTGTTCCAGGAAATCATCTACGAGAACTACCTTTAATGGTAAATGAGAAAGTGAGTGTTCAAGTGTTACATCCACTAATACAAACCTACACACGAGTCATTACAACACATCCTAACACACATATACACCCTTTCAACCACACAAACACACACACAAAACTCTATCCACACACCTTGAGCGGACGATGTTTCTTTTTGTACTCCACCAGGTCACCGTTCTTGAGATCATAGTACTCCAGGGTTCGTCCGGCATTGAGCCAGACGCCTCGGCTGTAGTCGTCTTCTGGGCGGAATAGTCCGTGGTCTAGTCCCAGGTTTGTTTTCTCGCCCAACTTCTCGAGAATCTCTTTGCACACGTCGTATAGTATAACCGAGGGATCGAACTGCGGTAGGTAGAGGTAGTATGGTATATATGTGAGTATTGTGGATATGTGTATGCGAGTAGTGTGTATGTATGTATATGTGTGTGTATGTTAGTAGTGTGTGTGTGTATATGCGTAGTGTATGTGTGTATGTGTGTATGTGTGTTTGTGTGTATGTGTGTATGTATGTATGTGCATATGTGTATAGGTGTATATGCGTGTAGTGTTTAATTGTTACGTATGTATGTGTGTATTTAAGCGTAGCAATGTCACAACTGGGTACACCAGGTTTTTTTGTGTGGGTGTGACATTGGGAGACTTTGTATTTGAAGTGCGTATACATTCATTTACGATCATGCTTGTGCACACCAACACACACGCCCACACGTACACAACCATGCTCACACAAACCCAAATACACCAAACACAAATACACCTAGCACTGCATGCATACACCACATCCATGTACAATCATACATACCAAGCCATACCTGCAGAACCATAGACACAGCCGTGTACGCAAATAATCACGTACTTCGTACGCTTACGCGTTTATCCCAACTCCTTACTCATCTCACAAACTCATGCACATGTTCATATACTGACACATACGGCCTACCAACACTATGTCACACCTTAACTGACACTCCCTCGTAAGCAGCCACAGGCCACACACACGCACACAGCCACTAGGTAGCCACATACATACAAAAACACATTTATGTATACATACATACATACATCCATCCATACATACATACATACATACATACATACATACATTCAGACATACATACATACATACATACATTCATTCATTCAGACACACACCTGCATCGAACGCACAGCACCCGAGTCCACAATGCGCACGCGCAGAGTCAGCAGTCCCTGTGGCGCAGATTTGGCGGTGGAAGCCGTCGGTGTTTTGGCTGCGTGAGGTTTCAAGGTTTAGGGTTTACGATATAGGATTTAGGGTTTAGCGCAGAACATGGTGTATATAGGTCTCTACAGATGTGGTTGAGAGTAGTATAGGGTTTAGGGTTTTGGTTGTTTGTTTGATTTAGCGGTAATATAGTGGTAGCGAGTGTGTGTGCGGAAGGGGGGGGTGGGGGAAGTGCAAGCGGGAACGCGGAATGACAGGAGTAGATGCTTTCAACAAGTAATAAGCACGAGTATTATTGTTTAGTGTTATGAGTGCAGGTGCACTGATGTTTATAAGGTATAGAGTTTTGAAAGTTAGAACTCTAAAACCCTATGCCTGTAACGCCAGATAGACATATTCCACGTGTGCATGCATATTGCAAATAGTATCACTAGACTATGGGAGATAGTACTCATCCTGTTTCGCGTTATATATATGTATATAGCTGTCTACTTATGCATACGTCTGTCTCTTTAACATATGTAGTGATAAACTACTCATTCAGCTAAGTTTGCTTGTGGCTTAAACCTTGAGTTGGCACTTACTTGCGGGTGCCGCACTGGCGGGTGACGGTGAGGCCAACATATTGATCTGAGTTTATTTGGAGCTCGATGATTCCAATTACAAGTAGTGTTCTGGGGATGTATTTGAAGGGACTCTTCAAACTCGAAACACTGTTGAGGAGAAATTACCAAAACAAATCAGGACTGGAGAATTGGGTATCGCAAGTTGCATGCGTGCTTTATGTGTGAGGCGAGTCAGTAGGCCGATTAAATGTATCTAAACATGCCAGTAAAGGAGAAGAGATGGACAGATAGTTATATTAGAACAAAAAAGGTATTCCATCGGGGTTTCCTCTATACATCCTACAAGTAAAACGATCCTATATAATTAAGTACATCACCCCTTTCATTTCCCTGCCAAGACACCCACGTGTCATATCCGTCATAAAAGGGCTATATTAATGTAT